GAACCCATAAATTGTTGATAGTCACAGACTCACTGAGTGCATTACAAAAAATAACAAAGCAGGGCATAAGTGCGAAAAACGATGATATCACTTTAGACACAAGGAAACAAATAATTGAGAGTATCAAGGAAGGACGCGAGATTAAACTTATGTGGGTACCGAGCCACTCAGGAATCAGAGGAAACGAAGAAGCGGACAAACTGGCAAACCAAGGAAGACAGGAAAACTTGCTCCATGAGTACAAGCTATATCATGGGGACATACTGCCAACAATAAAACACACAATATGGGAAAACTGGTGTCACATATATAAGGAAGAAGGCAGAATCAAGGGCAAAAAGTATGTAAATTTCAACCCAGAACCAATCAAAACACCATGGTTCAGACACATAAAAGCACCTAGAGGAGCAATAACGACCATCATCAGATTGAGATCACAACATTGCCTAACACCAGAACACTTATACAAAATAGGCATTAAAGACAACCCACTTTGTACAACGTGCGGAAAATATGGAGATCTCAACCACATATTTTTAGGCTGCCCAAACAGAACACAACAAAACACAGAATTATACAACAACCTGGCCCAACTCTCACAAACACCCATAGATATTAGCACGCTACTGGAAAAACCTCTTTCAACATCAGTTAAACTCCTTATAAAATACGTATCAGAAAACGGACTGAAGCTTTAACCCCGCTTTAAACATACCTACCCAATATTCCTCAAGCTTAGCATGGCATGAAAATATTCATATAGAAACACAATAATCGTTGACCTACCACAAATATCTTTTGTTAACAGAAATCATCTATTCCTCTACCCATCCTGGCATACCCTGGTGTAAACCCATGTGTAAAGCTCTGGACACACCACAGAGCGAGAAGAGTCTTATTACCTTTGTAAACCCCCCATCCTACTCATGAAGGGCATGGACAAGGTTTCCAGACGCACAGAAGTGTGCACCTTTCAGGGAAGATTGCAATAAGCAAAGAAACCATAACTGGCTGTATGTCCTTTGACAAGAGGCCACAAAACTAGAAGAAGAAGAAGAAGAATCACTTATATTATTATTAATCTACAGTTAATCACATACACTTATAAATTGCATAATATTTCGGCACGCTGTTTAAATTAATTTTACAAACTGAGTAATAAATGTACATATAGGTACTAATAGTATGTATAATCCAAAAAAGGACAATACTTCATCTGATTCAGATCAAATTAAATTTTTAATATACCGCTGTTACAACAGTTTGTTCATAACGTTTAATGTTTTATTTGTTTTTAATGTTTGTTGTTCATTCTTACTATTCGTCCCTGTTTTTTATATACAGTGTGACCCATTTAAGATGGAAGCACCCTTATAAAACCTACATTTTTCAACCGATTGGAATGATTTTTTTTTTGTTAGGTAGATATTCAAAAAGTCTATTAGGACACCAAATATCATGAATAAATCTCCATTTCCAGGGCCACCTAATCTGATTTTTCAAGGTCAAAAATCTAAAAAAATTACTAGCGATTTTTTTAGAAAAACTCTGACTACACCACTGGATTTGTGACATTTTCAAATGGGTAACATGTGAATTACGTTGAAATGCGTCAATCAATAAAAAAGTTATAAAGGAATGAAATTTGAAAAATATGCCGTTTAATCAACCCATCAATTTTTATTACTGAACAGATTTCGATGAAACTGTGATCAGTAATATTTCAAGACATCCTGAATCCAGTGGAGTATAAAGACTTTTCATAAAATTCATGAACATGAATTGGTGGGTTGATTAAACGGCATATTTTTCAAATTTCATTCCTTTATAACTTTTTTATTGATTGACGCATTTCAACGTAATTTACTTGTTACTCATTAGAAAATGTCACAAATCCAGTGGTGTAGTCAGATTTTTTCTAAAAAAATCGCTAGTAATTTTTTTAGATTTTTGACCTTGAAAAATCAGATTAGTTGGCCCTGGAAATGGAGATTTATTCATGATATTTGGTGTCCTAATAGACTTTTTGAATATCTACCTAACAAAAAAAAATCATTTCAATCGGTTGAAAAATGTAAGTTTTATAAGGGTGCTTCCATCTTAAATGGGTCACACTGTATACTCAAATCTTATAAGTACCTATGTAACATTTTGCCGAGATTTTGTGATATTTGTTAGTATTTTTCGAGGTATTTTTGAATTGAGAATCAAGAATATGATTTGTTTTGTATGAAAATGTTTGTTTTCTTTGTTTTTATTTTGTTGGAAATACTTCAATTCTCTGTTTACTTAAAGTAGATAATGTTTTGACGTCATAGGTTCATTTCATTATCCTTGAAATTCGTATAGCATAAAATAGATCTTAAACAGATCTATTGAAATCTCGATTGAAATCTACTGAATGTTTGACAAGATATTTACTGATCAACTGAACAACTGTCATTTGCTGAAGTTGTCAAATTAATTTTTCACGAAATCTGATAGATTCCACCTGTGAATTCGCGGGAATCAATGTTACCAGGTGGCGCTCGGCCGCTCGGTTTTCATCGTTCCATGTCAAAGCCACGTCAAAACTGGGGGAAAACAAACTCAATCCTTACTCAATCCAATTAGTGCCATGAAATTGTGTACTATTTACTGATAAGAGTGATAAGTTTTTATATTTTTTTTGACATTAATTGTCAATATTCGATCGAAAACGCCAATTGTAGATGTTCTTTTGGCAGATATTTTGCTCTATTTAGATGAAAAAAGCCGACCAGTAGTGGAAGGAGAAGCAGTTCTCCGTGCTATCATGTGATTTTGTGTGAGGCAGAAGACTTCAACAAAAGGCACATTTTTGCACTTTGTCTACAAACTTCGGCGATGAAATCTTCCCCACATGAAGTAAAATTGAAGTTGGGGTCCAGAGAAACTCCTGTAGAACAATGGATTTGTATTTGTTCCTGCAAAGCAGGACAATCTGGGTATTGTTAGCTGTTCTTTTATATGTCAATTTATTTGCTCGTCATAATTAGTTTGAATTGTTTGAACTATCTCCAATTCTTCACCCGTTCACTGTTCACTAAACTGATAAAAATGTGATAATGTAAAAAATTTGACCAACTCAACCATCATCACTACCAACAGTACCAACACTTTATGTCCTTGAAAAGTTTGACTACAGCTACAGCAAGCTGAATGCAATGTAGTCTATGCACTTTATCCATAGACAACAGTTTGTTTTCCCCCAGTTTGAAGTTCGTATTATGTAACCTAGATGTCGCCCACTTCGTGAATCTCGCGAATAGGACCGTGATGTGAATATACTTAAGTGTCTGAGGTCTCGCCTGATTGCTAACCTTGGCTAAGGCTCCGGCTATCAATTTGCAGAATCGACTACTCGCTAGACTATATAGACAGTATTTCGTCCTTGGTACATAATAAATAACTATTTTAATAATGCAAGTTCAGGCTTTTCAAGTATTTCTGGACTAAGCAGCAAAAATAAACAGCCAGCTTACAATTTTGCCCTGCAACTTTCTTAATTTTTGTCGTGTATTTTGGTGAAATTCCGACCAAATCGTAGATAAATATTTGAAAATGTTAACCAGAGGTTAACCTGAATTTTAGCTCCCAAACACAGCTAATGGCTTGATCCTTCATATACAGAAAAAAAAACAAAAGTTACTATTTCACGCCTTTGCAACAGGGCGTCAAGAATAGTCAAGGGTGAAAGAGTAACTTTTATTTTCCCTTGTATAATGACCAAGCCATCAGCTTTTTTCAAGAATTATAATTCAGGCCAAAACTCCGTAACATCAATCTACGAATCTACGATTTGGTCGAAATTCCACCAGAATCGGACAAGAATTAAAAAAAAGTTTCAGAGGGACCTATTTTTTTTTGCTGGTCGTTTTTTTGCCGGCCGGTTTTTTTCACCATAAATCCCCCCCACCCCTCTAGCTCACTTATTTTTGAACCGACTTCAAAATTTAAATTATCTGAAAAGATTTTTCAGGCATTATTTTCGCTACATCACAGAATACAAGGTGCTCGGAACAAACGATCTTCAGGGTAGGTATCTTGGTAGGTACTGTAGTATCGGTACTATAGTCGATTTTTTCAAATGGGACACCCTATATTTCGCACTGCATTCTTAGATTCTCCCTAAAGTGCTGATTGTATCAATAGATCCCACTCGGGGTCTAGCGGGAATGATTAGGTACAGAGATATATAGGTATAGGGTGTCTAAAATCGAGATTGTTCAACTTTAGGAATTTTTGAGGCTACAGTAATGATTCTTGGTTAAAACGACTCACATGTCCCTATCTCAACTTTCGATTTACTAACTACTGATGACATTCAATTACTGACATTTCCATTTGGAAAAATCTACTAATTTCCTGTAGATCGTTTGTTCACCCTGTATTTTCTGATCTAGCGGAGAAAAATTATCAAAAATCATTTCAATTGATTCTTAAAATCCTGGGATCGGTTCAGAAATAACTGAGCTAGAGGGAGGGAGGAGGGCATTTATGGTGAATCACCCTGTATACATACCGAGGTACATATCAACCTATAGGTCTACCTATATGATGGGTAATAGCAGTAAGTATCTAAAAATACGAAAAAAGGTAGGTATAATATTTCGTGTAAATCTAAAAAGCCGATACCTATATGCCACCCTGTATAATTATTATGAAATTTGAAACGTTACAAAATCAAACAAATGACAGAATGTTGAACTGTCGTTCTGTACATACAACAAGAATAAAATGTGTGTGTAATGTATTGTAGTGGTATCTAAAAAATGTTATTTGTACATTACCTACCTAGGACTGCACAGGTATATAGGTTCCTACATGTAGGTAAATCAGTTTAATCAAACACACAGCCAATCACCCCTACCTCTCAAATCCATAATCACACAATCACAGATTTTTTAGTTAGTGCAAGCATGTAAAAAGTGACAGATGTATCTAACAAAAAATACGTGAGAGAGAAAGAAAATAAGTACCTGGCACAAAAACGATAAGAGATGCCTATTCCTATCACATCGCAACCAAATTAAAACAAAAACTCACAACTGTTTTATATTCGCATTGCGCAAGATGAATAACACATAACACCGTAAATACTCACAAGCATTGTAACAAGTATAATGCAGACAACGGCGCCTGACTGTAGCTTAATTTCACCAATCACCAATGCTGTATGTATTAGCGATTGTCACTAAATACCGCGCTAACACAAAATATTAATCAAACCGGAATTAGCTAAAACACGTACCGGCGTGCGAGAGTTTACTTAATTTACTAGTTCACTACGATATCTACGGGATTTTAGAACACACGAACTTTCTATAGCATCATGCAACACTCGAATGTTCAGATCAGAAACCCAAGTCTAGCGAACATTGGAACAACTGTGCATGTCGACAGAGGCAGAGGAGGTATGAGGGGCAGGGGACGCTCTAACAGAGGGGAAAGAGGCGAGCAGAGTAGAGTAGGCTGTGGTTGTGTGGGTTATAGCGCGCAGCTGAACCATTTAAAACCATGCGAGTGGGGAATGTATAATGAAACCCGGTGAAACTCTCGGCTTTGTTCGAAGCGGTATGTGAAACTCCAATGGGCGGGGCCCGGTTCTCGCCTAGCAACACGAACTGTCGGGTCAGGGACGATGGAGACGTGAGGGGGGATTTATGCTGTTGAACAAACAATACGAATGGAAATGAGATACTGCTTACCATTGAGAAATGGATGGGGGTTATAATCGAGAATACCTCTCGCTGTTTACATTTATCACTGTAGCATTTTTAGAGAAGTTTAATTGGTTTTGTAAACGATATAATACCTACAGTGTGGTAACCTTACAGATTAGGTAGGTAGGTATTTCGAAATCGACACTATAAGTATATCACGTTATAAGAAAGTAAGTATCTATACCTGTGCTAGGTGGACTGGAAATACCTAATAGATTTTCGGTAGGTTGGTATAGTTTATCCAAAAACATTTGCAGAATCTTGTGCCGCACCTGCAGTCAGTTCAAAGGAAATTTCAAACACGCCGACGCCGCACAGTGCGGGATATTCTGTAATTGATATTGGATATACTATACCTAGGTATACTTAGAAAGGTATCTACCTATACCTACCACAGTTTAGGGAATATACTTATACCTATATAAGAATATCCTTCCTACCTATATAGGGACCTACCTATAGGTATTCGTTTCTATCTTATTATCGCCGTACTTACTTAGAATGTATATAGGTACACTGTGCCCAAGATAAGATGTCTATCATGGGGTAAATTTGATGATGGTTTATCCGAAACGAAACCTCGTAATCTCTCAAACGTTGTTTTGTAGAGCTTGAAAAGTGGCCATGAGAAAGTGTCTTGTTTTTTTATATCTCTTTAAATAACGTAAGAAAAAAATAAATACGATCCCCATGGTAGACATACTTATCTTGGACACAGAAGTGTAGGTATATATATAGGTATATAAGTATACTTTATAGGTAATTCAAACTCATTTATTTTTATTATCTTTAATATCATTATCTCATCAATAATACAGAATAATACTAGATTCAGATAACATGTTGACCAAATATTTACATAAGTAGGTAGGTGGTTATAGGTACCTATATTTACGAGTAGGTATATATATACTGTAGTTATATCGGTCATATTTTACACAGGTCATTAAAAGTTAAATATAGGTAGATCATTACGTTAATATTTTTTGGTTGATGGTAATTATATTACGTAGGTATCTACCTACTTAAGAATTGTGATTCTGTAAACAATATACCTATGCCTATATACTTAGGTATACATATACATATATAGGTATAGGTAGGTATGTATAGGTAGCTCAGCATAATAACTTTGGAAGGTAGGTATAGCTAGAGGTAGAAGTCTCTACATACCTGACTACTTGCGATATTATTGTGAAATTTGAGATCATAAATTAAACACAATATACCTATATCTATTATTGGTAATTATCGAGCTCACATCTAAAGCGCGTTTGAATAGCCACCTGTCTAGCCTAGTCTATCCTATACCCCTTATTTGAGCATATTTTGAGCCTCTAGAGTCTGCAAGCTCTCAGCAGAAGGAAACAGCAATGGCGAGTCGAATACGTAGAGGTAACCACATAATTTTGGTAGGTACCTATAGGTAGGTATAGCAGGTAGATAGGTCTGTTTCTCAATTCAGGTAGGCCAATATTCATGATTGGTTTCATGGTTCGTTATTTGTTATAGAAACTCTTTTGTTCAACCTACATACCCCTATAATTCTTTTGGAATTAGCGTTAGTGAGATAGGTATAAGCACAGTAGAGAGTATGTAATTTAAATAGGTAGTATGAACTGAAAAAATAGTAGGTGGTAAACACCAAACGTTTTGTTTGTTGTGGTATTATTTGACGAATGTAGTGACTGGTGCCTATTTCACTACCGACTGAGTGAACACTTATTAGAATGATCGAAGATCAATCTTAATTTGATCTTTGATCATTTTAATAAATGTTGTGGAGATGACTTTGGGTTTTCATCTATGATGTTGTATATATTATTAATCATTAAGTAAATGAATACTTTTCCTCACACATTCCTTGTACAATTATAATGTAAGCATAGATATGTAAGTAATCATCAAGTTCGATGAGTAGGTAAGGTACATTCTTATCGAGGTATTAGTTTGAAAATAAATAGTTATATGTATAAAGCAGGTTGGTACTTCGCAAATGCAAACATTTCAACTATTTCTTTTATTTCCATGGATGGTTTCGGAAATGAGTATACTTTTTGGTGTAGGGAAAAAATGATAAATTTCACTCTGGAGGTGAATCCTTTCTCCAAATAAATAAAGTGAGGATATCTGAGGAGCTTAGGGATAATTTACTCTAATAATCCTATACACAGCTGAATAGGAGATAAGGATTTATTTAAAATTTAATACTAACTGAAACAAAGTCAACAAACGACCGCAAATAATGAAACTAACAAATCAATGAACAGTGATCAAAGGTTATTTTTGTCGGGAGCAACCACTTGCCCTATCCACAGCTTTGCAGTCGATAGCACTCTCCATACTGCGTTCTCTTCTAGAATTCCCATTTCTTTCCAGGAATCTGGAAAACAACAACCTAGTTGAATTCAACACCACCAAAACTCAAGCCTGTATTTCTTCTAGAAAGGCGGAACTTAGCAGTACGCCTCATATAGCAATGCCTGGTACCACCATTTCCACCAATTAAGACCACTATGTCGATGTTCGGAATTTCCATCAGCATTACTCTTTCGTCGGAAAATCATGTCCTATCCATCGCGAAAGCTGCTTCACGAAAACTTGGATTTTTATTCCGTGTGAAAATCTACTTTACACCTCAACATCTTTTCATGATCTACAAAGCACAGATACGGCCAGTTTCAGGATACTGTTTCACATATGGGGTTCAGGACCCAAACATTCCATCTCGAGAAGAGCCATCCGCCAGGTGGGTGGAGCCACCCTCACTAATACGTTGACTTCATTAGAACACCGTACACTGAGGAAAATTCCTATTACCAAAGAATCCTATTAACCATAGTCAGAAATCGAATTACCCCAGCAAGAAACTCTAATAACTCGAGAAGCAGATAACTGGTGAACGGAGAAGGCCGTGCCTGATCCTCGATCGCCTTCGCTTGTTCTGCTTCTTTAGCTGAAAACTCCTACATGACGCCGAAGAAATTCATATTAGACGATGTATCTGTAGTAGGTATCTGACTTTGCTACCGCTAGTGAGTGCATCTAGTAATGGCATCGTCCACCAATATTCTGTAATGGAGTAGGGCAATGTTATAATCGTTGGTAGGAAACTTTGCTACTCTTGATGGGTGATCATGTAGATAGTTGCATGACCTTCTTACTGTAGATATCTGTAGTAGGTATCTGACTTTGCTACCGCTATTGAGTGCATCTAGTAATGGCATCGTCCACCAATATTCTGTAATGGAGTAGGGCAATTACCTAGCATGCAACTATCTATATGATCACTAGCGAGTGCATCTATATGATGCTATTATAGACGATGTTTATGTAGTAGGTATCTGACTTTGCTACCGCTAGTGAGTGCATCTAATAATGGGAGTAGGGCAATGTTATAATCGTAGGTAGAGAACTTTGCTACTCTTGATGGGTGATCATGTAGATAGTTGCATGACCTTCTTACTGTAGTTATTCAGTTATTTTCCAGGATTGTTGTCATCAAGAAAGGTGAAATTTTGACTCATATCCAATTTCACTTCCCATAATTTCCACCCTGATATAATAATAATAATAATAATAAATCGTCTTTATTACTTCTATAAATTATTACAGAAATTAAATTGAGTAAATACATATTGAAGAAGTAAAGGGCGAAGTTTATTTTTTGTTACACGAGAGAGCATAACAAGAAATATTCTTCCACTTAACCCACAAAAACCTGTGTATAAACAAATTCATTAATTCCTAAAGAAAATTTCGGACCAATGATCTTCGAAATTCAATAGATCAATTAATTCATGCACCCTCAGGAAAAACAAAACGTTTTTGAGTAATTGATGAAAAAAATAATTTTTCTGGAACTCTCTGAAACTATTGTATTTCGAAAACTAGGCAAGTTATTACAGATGCGTACAGGAAAACAAAATTTCACCAGTGAAATCATTCAAATAATTTCATAACCTGGACATTTTTGCTCATAATAAGTTTTTAGACCACATTCTATAGAGAAGTTATGGAACATATTTGACAATTTTAAAGTTTCATGGTACCAAGAAGAAGTAAATGCTGAATGTGAAGTATTTGAATTTCAGTCGAAATACCTCGAAAAACTCACCTTTATCATTCCATCAATCCTGGTAATAACTGAAGCACTCAGATCTACGGAAGCACTGAAAGGGACACAGAAGATTTTTTCATTTGTTAAAAAATGTTTCCATTTTATATTCGAATGCAGATTCAGATTTTGAATAATGAATTGAATTCAAGAGGGGAAGTATTCGTAACTGTCGTGTCGTCGAGATTGTCGTCCTGTACATGGGTTTGCATCAAGAGCCCAACTGTGAATGATTGATCAAGCAAGATGTCTGACAAATGCTTTTATAGAGGGGGACAAATCAGCAAAATATCGAATAACGATAAGTAGGCGCTAAATAACCCCAAGTAGGTTCGTCAAATATTATTTTCGTGGCA